CCGCCGGCGCGTGCGGCCTGGCCAGCCCCGGCGCCGCGTGCCCGCCGCCGCCCGCCGCGGCCGCGGGCGGCAGTCCGAGGGGCATGAGCCCGGCGTCTTCGGGCGGCGGCAGCCCGGCCGCGCGGCGGTTTTCGGGGCTTTCGGTGGACTTGAGCGCGGCGGAGGAGGATGAGAATGACGAGGAGGATAATGAGGAAAAGGATGGGGGTGAGGGCGGCTGCAGCGGCGCCGAGGCGCCGGGCGCCATGGGCGGCACCAAGGCGGCCGGCCTGCCGGGCGCGCGCGGGGAGCAGCGCCGGAGCGGCCCCGGTGCCGGCACCGGCGCCGCGGCTGTGTCGGGTTTTGCAAAGAAGCTGGCCTTGCGGCCGCCGACGCCGGGGGTCGGGCTGGGATTGCCGCTGTCTGCCCTCAGCACAAGCGTGCCCGTCGGCGCGGCGCCCAAGGCGCCGCCGGCCGCCCGTCCCGCGGCGCCCGAGCGGCGGCGGGGCTCGGCCGGCATCGGGCCGCAGCAGCGGGCGGTGCTGCGTGAGTCGTGGGAGGGCAAGCTGTCGCGGCGGCCGCCCACGCCGGGCGTGGCGCCGGGCAAGCCGGCAAGCATGTTTTGCGACGACGGCGCTGACGAGGAGGAGGACGAGGAAGGCGGGCGGGCGGAGGAGCCGAGGGCGCGGGCCCGCCCGGCCGTCGCGTCTGCGGCAGCGAGAAGGGGGCACCCCAGGCAGGCGAGCGGCGGTGAGGGCTCGGCTGGTGGCAGCGCCGGCGCCGGCGCCGCCAGCGGCGGCCGCGTGCGTTTCCCCGAGCAGAGCAGCATCGAGGCGGTCAAGATCATCCGTCAGCCCGAGTTTGACCGGCCGAGCGACGGCAGCCGCTCGAGCAGCGCGGGGCGCAGCAGCGGTGGCAGCTGCGGTCGCACCGAGGCTGCGCCTGTGGTGGCAGAGGCGGCGGCGGCGGCGGAGGCGGTGGCGGGGGCAGGGGCTGCGGCGGCGCTGATCAGGCGCGGCAGCCCCGAGCTGCAAATGGACTGGGCAGCCAAGCTTTCGAGACGGCCGCCCACGCCGGGGGTGGCTGTGCAGCAGCCGCCCAGCATCTTCAAAGAGCAGCAGCAGGCGGCGCCGCAGGGACCGCCCCCGGCGGCCTCTCGCGGCGGGCCCGCGAGCGCGCAGCAGCCGCGGCCGCAGGGGCCGGAGAAGCCTGCCGCGAGGGCCGGCGGCGGCGGCGGCGGCGGCGGGGCCGCGGCTGGGGCCGCACTGCCGGGCGGCTCAGGGCGCCTGCCGGCGGCGATCTCGGCGCTTGTCGGCCACAACGCAGATCTGGGGATCGACGTGTTCGAATCGACAGACGCTCCCGCGGCCCAGCGACAGCCGCGGCAGCAGCAGCAGCAGCAGCAGCAGCGGCAGCAACAGCAGCAGCAGCCGGCGGCCAACAGCGGCAGCGGCGCGGCCGGCGGTCTCAAGTCGTGGGTGGCGAAGCTGACTAGGCGGCCGCCCACGCCGGGCGTGGCCCTGGGCGCCAGGCCAGCCAACATGTTTAGGGACGGCCCTGACAGCAGCGACGAAGCGCCCCCGCGGGCAGCGCCTCCGGGCCCGCGCCCGGCAGCTGCCGCCCCGCCGGGCCGCCGCGCCGCCGCACCGCCGCTCGCGGCGGCAGCGGAGAGCTCGGATGACGAGTCCGGCTTCTACTCAGCAGGAGAGGAGGACGAGGCAGCTGCTGCCGCGCCGGGCATCGGCGCCGCGGGCGGCGCCCGAAGCGAGCGGGGCGCGCCGGGCAGCACGCCGCCGCGGCGGCGCGTGTCGTTTGAGGAGGCCGTCGCCGCGGCCGGCGGCGTGATCCTGCCCGCGGCCGCCCCCGCTGCGGCGGCGGCCGCCCCGGACGGGGGCGCGC